GGTCAACAACAGACCAACATCTGGTTTACATCAGGTCAACATCTGGTTAACAACAGACCAACATCAGGTCAACAACAGGCCAACGTCCAGTCAACAGGTTAGCATCAGGCCAAAACTGGTAAACAACAGACCATCATCTGGTCAACAACAGGCCAAAATCTGTTAAACATCTGACCAACATCTGGTCTACATCAGGCCAACATAAAGTCAACAACAGACCAACATCAGGTCAACAACAGACCAAAGTCCAGTCAACAGGTTAGCGTCAGGTCAACAACTGGTAAACAACAGACCAACATCAGGTCAACAACAGACCAACATCAGGTCAACAACAGACCAACATCTGGTCAACATCTGACCAGCCCAGCTGAGTTTAGTGAGCAGCCATGGAAGAAACTGTGTTTAAATGGTAGCGTTGAAGATAAAGATGTATTGTTCTAACTGTTCAATAGTCCTGAAGCCTCTCTGAAGAGTTCTGAGGAAAGGTCAACACAGTCAAATAAACTTTGATGATATGCAAGCGAAGACCCCCACCTCCTTATCCTCCATCCCCTTTAACCCCCGAGTCCTCACGTTGCCAGACTGACCACATTTATTCCACATACTCTGAAGTGTTTGCACGGCGCTCCAAAATGGTTTGAAAGTTTGACAAGAAGATCTGTTGGAAATCACGAGACAGCTGGCCATCAGTAGAGGCAGAATCAATGCCATGAGGCGTTGACCAAGACAGCAGAGTATAGTAATGATCGGTAACAACTTTAGTGAAAGAGCTTAAACTACAGTTGGCATACCTCAAAGCTGTGTACTCAGGCCTTTGAACATGTCATGTTTATGGCACTGATAGAAACTGATTCTGCTGTAAAACTGGGAAGAGGAGAAATCATCAATCTTCATCAAGATATCCGAAAAACAAGAGCCTGTCACAGTGAACATAGTGGCAACAGTTTAACAATGCTAGCTCAAAGAGGCAAATATCTACCTAAAAGCTAAAAGTAGGAACAAGCCAAAGGAAAGTTGCCAAACACTAGCTGAAATCTAAAAGTATAAAGGCAATTATTAAAGTAACAAAATGCAAGCTAAAAGTAGTAATAAGCTAGTGAAACACTAAAAGTTAGCTAAGAGTAGCAAAAAGCAAAGTTCAGTTTAGCAGAATGCTAGCTTTAACCTAAAATTAGCATTAGTTAAAAAAAGCATAAGCAGTATTTGCATTCACGGTTCTTAAACTAGCCTTCATAGTTCTAGTCGTAGCATTAATATAGTTTGCAGTAGAAAAATTAGCATTAACATTACTTTGATATGTTACTGATTAAATTAGCACACGGTCTGCAGAAGATTGTAAAAATAAAACATACGGAAAAATAAAAATAGGTAAACAACACTGCTGGAGTCCTGTTTTATTAAAGTTGATGTAATAAATTCATAAAGTTTTCGTCCATCATGATGAAGTTCAGTTTTTGCACAAAATAAAAATCTAATTTTCTACGTCGGCTGCATCAAGAAGAGAAACACTGAGCAACACAAAGCTCTGTTAGCAAATATCTACCTACAAACCGTATTTTCAGAGTTTACACATAATCTCACTACGATCACAGTTCTCCTGATGTGACCAGAACCCGAGTGTCCTCATCTCGTCCCAATCTAAAACCAAGCGTGGACTCAACTTCATCAGTGCTAACATTTGTTTCCATTCTCTTCTTCACCTTCAGGGCCTGAAACCAGACATGGAGGCCTCTCCACCCGCAGCAGCTGAGAAAAAACACAAGATGGATGGGAGCAGTTTCACCGACATGCCGAAGAAACTCTCAGCCACTGACATGAGAGGTAATGTGCTTTTTAAAAGTTTCTGCTAACCCACTGTTGGGTCTGAACCCCGGCGTCCGGTTGTCTGTCAGGCGTGATTTGAGTCAGAATGAGTCCAGGTCTCGTAGGTGTTCAAGCAGGGGGCAAAGGAGGAGCGAACAGGACTGATGAAATATACATTTCAAAGATGAAGCAGCATCCTGGGAGCTGATGCTGCGGCTCTCCTCGGGCCTGATAAGGAACCCTCAGCAGTCAGAGGTGACTTACAGTAAGCGTCTGACAGGAATCTTAATGGACTCGGACCTTTAAAGGACTCATTAATGCAGATGGCTCTGGTATCAGGTCCTGGTGAGTACAGGAGGAGAGCACGGCATCGTTTGAGGCTGTAAACGGTGACGAACAGGAAAGATGACATGAGAGGAGAGCGGGGGGGTCGACGCAGGTGACTGTTTGTGTTGTTGAACTAAATGAAGAGTAGCAGCGTTCCCGTCTCGCTGGCAGAAAGAGGGGATCCGTGTTTTAAAGTTGTCAGCCAACGTGTGATGAAAGCTCGGTATAATGAGGCTCAAAGACCTCCGGAGAATAAAGAATTAAAAGAGGGCCGGGAGCCGCCGAAGTTCAGGACAACATGGAGCTTCAAACAATGATGGAGATGCAAGCTGATGTGTCTCTTTGACATGCTAATTAAATGTGTGATTTAGTGACATTTGGACTGGTTCATGAAGGACTTGGTGGCCTGCCAGTCCAAAGAAACACTCATTAATTGATGAAGAGGAGACAAAGGCACAAAGGATTGGCAGAGTTTAGTTCATCTCGGCGTGCACGCTGTCAGCTTCGACTGGATTAAACAGAACTTTGGTGCAAAGAGAAAGAAAGTTTTTACATCTGATATCGCATCTCTAAAACAAACTGACCAATAAAACGGTCTAAGTTCTGATTATTATACAACAGAATGGTCTTCTCAAGGGTCCAAACTGTTTTAGGTGATGTTCAGTCAACGGTTGTGAAGAATTATAAGACTTAATTTAGAATCAGAAACACCCAGACGCGTGTGTTACGGTTACAGACAACACTGTTAAGAGTTTATTTATCCTCATGTTTTAGATTTTAGCATTCAACCTGCTTTTTACCGGACAGTACTACCACTCCTTTATTTTCTACATGTTGTGTTCTGATTGTAGAGACTGAAAGACAAAAAAGGAGTTGTTCGTAAAAAGCTGTCTATTCAACCTTTATTTAGACAGGTTAATCCCATTGAGCCTCGAGGACTCATTTACAAGAGAGACCTGATTTCAACAAAGAGTGATGACAACAATGGACAATCATAAACGAGGCATACAGATATATATATTTTAAATTAAAATAAGATGCAAAAAAAGTAACAAAAAACAGCTGGATTCTAAGGCGAATGTATAAAACTAAAAACAGGAACATGTCTGCATTGGTCCCTGCCAGGAGTCCAACAGATTCTTAAAGCCACTTAGAGAGGTCAAAGGTCGAGAGCTTCAGATCTTTTTACAAGATATTCCAGGAAACAGGAGCGGAGTAGGAGAAGGTCCTTTTGTCTAGTTCAGTCCTCACTGAGGGAACGCTGCAGGTAATGATGTCCTGAGAGCGCACGCTGTAGCTGCACTCACACAGAGACATGTAGGAGGAGATGTATGAAGGCAGCAGACCAGGAAGTGATTTAAAGATGAAAATGTACCAGTGAGAGAGTCTGTGTGAAGTTAATGATGTCCAGTTTACCAGTGAATACTGGGTGCAGTGGTGGGTACGATAATCACAGCCAGTTATGAATCTTAGTGCACCATGATAGACAGCATCCAACATCTGCAGCATCCAACATCTGCAGCATCCAACATCTGCAGCATCCAACATCTGCAGGGTTCTTGTAGGAGCATTCATGTAAATAATGTCACCGTAATCAATGGAGGGAAGGAAAGTCACAGATACAAGGTGTTTCCTAACATTCAGAGTTAGACAGGATCTGTTTCTGAAAAAGAAACCCAGTTTAACTTCCAGTTTCTTTACCAAGTTTTCCACATGGAGCTTAAAAGAGAGATGTGAGTCGACCAAGATACACAAATATTTATAGGAATCAACAAACTCAATGGGGACACCATTTGAGGATGAAATCAGAGGAAGAACTGCTGGGACCAACTTCCTATTTGAAAAAAGCATCCTTTTGGTTTTATCAGCATTTAGGACAAGTTTGAGGTGGAACAAATCTGACTGGATGATGTTGAATTGCAAAAGCTGGAAAACCTTATCAACTGTTTTAGCTCGACAATAAACAACTGTGTCATCAACATAGAAATGTATGGATGCATCAGGGATGCTCTGACCTACATTACCTATGTAGATTGTAAAGAGGGTGGGTCCTAAGACTGAGCCTTGTGGTACACCACTGTTGACTGTTAAATAACTGGAGGAAGTACCATTATGTTGAACACATTGCCTCCGGTCTGAGAGATAGTTAGAGAACCAACCAATGGTGTGTTCTGTGAAACCGATTTCTGAGAGTTTATGACACAAGATGTTCTGATCCACAGTGTCAGAATCTTTAGACAGGTCTAAGAAAAGTGCAGCACAATAATCCTTAGCATCCAGTGCTTCAACAAAGTCATTAAGAACCTTCAGTGAAGCAGTGGTTGTGCTGTGTTGTTTCCTGAAACCAGATTGATGTGGAGGTAAGATGTTAAATGAGTCCAGATACTTTTTGATTTGAGAGTTTATCAGTTTTTCTAGAACCTTGGCTAAAATGCAGAGTTTAGAGATTGGTCCATAGTTGTTCAGTGAGGTGGGGTCTCCTCCCTTCAGCAAAGGAAGAACAAAGGCTGTTTTCCAAGTGTCTGGATGGAGTTTTGTCTTATGGAGAGATTGAAGATGTGGGTCACAGGGACTGCGATGGTATGAGCGGCAGCCAAGTGCGGTTGTAAAACTACATAAAAACGACATTTAAAAGATAAACACAAAGGTAATCCTGGTTATAGGGACTGGCATTCAGCCACAATTGTTGGTAATTATTTTCTGTAGAGGCAGATAAAGTTACCTCATGTCAGTACTGCTTGTTTTGTCTAAAATCTTTCTTCTTCTTCCGGCTGCTCCCTTCTTCAGGGGTCGCCACAGCGAACTAAGTCGCACAAAGACTTCGCAGTTATTTTTATGCCGGATGTTCTTTCTGATGCAACCACAGACACCGAGCTACCACAGCCCTCTGTGTGGAGCAGAGAGCTGCTATCTAGGACACCCAGAGGAGCAGATGGTGGGGGTTAAGGGCCTTGCTCAAGGGCCCAGAGTGGGACGAATAAGGGTGGGGGCAGGTGTGGGTCTAAAATGATTCAGAAAAACCAATTCTGTTCTCTTCTTTGAGCATCAGGTCATACAAGAAGACACTGTGGAGGTTTTAACGAAAAGCATCTCATAAAGTTGGAGTTACAAAGTAAGATACTGAATATTTTACCGGTAATATCCGGTTAAGTCGGGGTGAGGCAAATAGTAAAACAGTTGATGTTTTACTGGTAAACATTCAGTAAAGTCAAGATGTTTTACTGGTAAACGTCTGGTAAGAGTGAAATGAGGAGGCAGAAACACAGTGCATCTTTTACCGGTAATCGTCCGGCAAATTTGGGGTGAGGCAGATAGTAAAATAATGGATGTTTTACCGGTAATCATCCAGTAAAGTTGAGGTGAGGCCGATAGTAAAATAGTGGATGTTTTACCGTAATCGTCCGGTAAAGTTGAGGTGAGGCAGATAGTAAAATAGTGGATGTTTTACTGGTAATGATCTGGTAAAGTTGAGGTGAGGCAGATAGTAAAATAGTGGATGTTTTACTGGTAATCATCCGGTAAAGTTGAGGTGAGGCAGATAGTAAAATAGTGGATGTTTTACTGGTAATCATCCGGTAAAGTTGAGGTGAGGCAGATAGTAAAATAGTGGATGTTTTACTGGTAATCATCTGGTAAAATTGAGGTGAGGCAGATAGTAAAATAGTGGATGTTTTACCGGTAATCATCTGGTAAAGTTGAGGTGAGGCAGATAGTAAAATAGTGGATGTTTTACCGGTAATCATCCGGTAAAGTTGAGGTGAGGCAGATAGTAAAATAGTGGATGTTTTACTGGTAATCATCTGGTAAAATTGAGGTGAGGCAGATAGTAAAATAGTGGATGTTTTACTGGTAATCATCTGGTAAAATTGAGGTGAGGCAGATAGTAAAATAATGGATGTTTTACCGGTAATCATCTGGTAAAGTTGAGGTGAGGCCTGTAAAACAGTTGACATTTTACCGATATACATCCAGTAAAGTCGAAGTGAGGCAGATCGTAAAACAGTGGATGTTTTACTGGTAATCATCTGGTAAAGTTGAGGTGAGGCAGATAGTAAAATAATGGATGTTTTACCGGTAATCGTCCGGCAAATTTGGGGTGAGGCAGATAGTAAAATAATGGATGTTTTACCGGTAATCATCCGGTAAAGTTGAGGTGAGGCAGAT